CATATAGTTGTGTAATTATTTGACCGCCACCCTGGAAAAAACTAACCAAAAAACACAAATCTGAGGCAGAAGATGATTATGAATTATTTATTCTGTAGCATATTTCATATTTTTAATTAATGTATCTACACTGCATAAAGTATTGAAAAATACTGAGTAGTTGGATAATTCAAATAAATTGATGTTAGATTTTCAAATGTTGATATTTTTCAACGTTTTCGGGCAATTTTGAGGTCAACACCCTTTTGAGTATTATATAGCCCATTAAACTTATTCAACAAGTATCAATAAATTAAGCTACAGGAAATAGTCGATGCAATCTTTGTATAGTTATTCCTCACATTTTAAATAAATGATTATACTGCTTATTATTCACATGTGGGTTAATTTTAATAATTGCCTGACGGAGTTGAAAAATATCAACGAAACGTTGTAGCGTTTGAAAATTCAACATCTACATATTTAAATTGTCCAATATTTTTAAATGGCTATATCAACATGGACGAGAGGAACATATTTAACTGCATGTAATATTGAGTAACGGATCACTCTTATTATTTTCAGGCCCAAAATCGAAAAACGAGGGAATAAAATGGATACCACCTCCATTGATACCCCTTACGCAAGAATCCAGATATAAAAGGTAAATAATCATTCAGTTATATAAATTATTATATGTAAGTTAATATAGTCATTCACATGTATACAGGGTGTAATAGAAATAAGTGCCAAGCTTTAAAAGGTGTAAACTAGATGCAACAGCAGCGTATATAAGGCCAAAACAGTTTTTTGAGAAAATTAGATTAATTTAGAATCCGAAGTCGGTCCTGTGCGTGAACTGGCAACACAGGTATGCACACAATGTAAACATTGCGATAAACATAAACAATTTAGTACTACACTTAATGTTTAGACAAAACAAATTAATTAATTACATTACCGGTAGCACTATGTAAAAGTATGAACACAAAAGATAGAAAAAATTTAATTTACGTACATATTAGTCGGTAAATGAACATTATCTGGATAATTGTACTTTTATGAAGGCACATTTTTTTACCAGCATTGAAGTATTGTCAAAGCGCGTTACCTTGTCGCAAACATGGTTGAAAATAAACTTGCCAAACATTATTTAAAATTGCGAAACATAAATTTGCGTCGCACTATTGTGATTTTTGCGAAAATTCAAAAAAATGCAAGAAAACTAAAAGAAGGTACAATCCCATGTCTGTCATGAGCGAGAATTGACAAGTGTAGTGAAATTGCGATAACAACTGCATCGATAGAGAATGTAAAAAGTGACGCTTATGGAATTATTAATAAAATAAACATCAATATCGCTGATGGTATGCAGTGCTATTTAAAGTACACTTCGATATTATATTAAAAACAAAAAAAAGAAAGAATTAACTTTAGTTAAACATTAATAGGCAAATTATCGTAATATCCTCTAGATAGGTAATTGTAATTTTATTAACTGTAAGGTAAATTTCCACACCACTATTGGGGTATTGCCAAGGTGCGTTACCGCCAAGGTACATTAACGCATTTATTGTGCACGATTAAATTAATCATTAATCTGATTTTTAGTATCCAAACCCTACTTTAGTTCAATGCTAATTTCTAACAGTTTCACTTAATAAAAATTTTCAGATGTATCTCGCACAGGTAAATATTTACATTTTTTTATACAACAGTAATTTCCTTAACTGCGTTGGGCTTCAGCCTCATAAACACTTTTTGTGTAGTAAGATTCATACCTCACATTTCTTTTATGTATATTACCATTGTTTATATTTATTCATTTAGGTATTAAATTAACTTTAGGAAATAATTGATTAAATATTGTTTTCTATAATAAAGTCCAGCTACCAATGAAAATCGGTAATTACGTGTATCAAGCAACTTGCCTACCCTTTTCATTAACGTGAGCTAATTATCAGGTTAAAATCTCGTTCACCTGGTTGATTTCTGGTGATGAGCTTAATTTATAGATCCATGTAAAGGATCTGAAGACCTTCAAACATTTTCGAGTTCAATCGATACAGTAGGATTGCTGTGTGGATCCATGTCAAATTAATCGCTCAAATGGTCTTCACAAGCTTTATATCTACTCCGTAATCGCTTCCAAATGAGTGCGTACTTATATAGAACTACAAGGTTCCCGTTGGTGTCCTGCATTAATTTTTCCCTTTTGCTATTATATACGCCTGCAGTAAAAGAGAACGAATTATAACGAGTTTTATTAGTTGTAGAGTATTAAAGATAAATACAATGTATTTAACTTTCTTGTCATTTCTTAATTACCTAACCGTAATAACAATATGAATAATTTATATATTTATTATAACTTGAGTAAGAAAACCTCCAAATTTGCTAAAACAAATGAACAGAAGTTGGTTTCTACAAAAGCTGACAACTTAATATTTGTAAGCTATGGTGTAACATCCTTGTTTACTAATATTCCCACAGATCAATTTAAGACTATATTTCGCGACAACTGAGATAGATTGCACCAACTAATTGAACTTCTTAAATTCTATAATGAGACTGACTACACCCAATTTGAGAAAAGTCATGGGTGGATCGTGTAGTCCAAAATTGGCAGAGATAGTTATGAATAACCTAGTCACGGATTTTTATAAAATACGTAGATAATTGTTTGACTATGACCCTGTCAATATAGAGAATCTTGCGAATAACGTCTTAGGATCAATTCATCCCTCTCTCAACTTTACCTTTGAAACAGAAACTAACGGGAAATTACCCTTCTTAGATGTGCTCATTATCAGAAGTGGTACTAGATTTAAATTTGGTTAGTTCACAGGTATTTGAATTTCTTGTCTCTCACAAAATCAGTAGCATTTTCAACTACTTCAAACAAGGAATTATTAATTTGAGCTCACCAGAATTTCTGAAAAACAGTCTCCAAAAGGTTCATCGAATATTATACTATCCTGTTGTTTTAATTAATCGAATTCATAGTCAATCTGTTACTAACAAAGAACATTACCAAATAATTATTGCTTCCTTTATTCCTTCTTCTCTCGGCGATTCCCTTTCTTTAAGTACTTTTTTGTTTACTTTTGGGAACCGTCTGGAAACTTTTTCTTTAAATTGTTTAACTGCTTTCCCAGAACGTTGGTACGACACATACATTTACAAATACGGCGCACATGAAGAAAGGTGCCCGTTCACGCACACGTATGACCGATCGCACACAAACACACTCGTGCTCACTACACTGCCCCCTCCTTAAGAATGTTTCGTCCCGAAACATTTTCACTTTCCCTTTCGCAGAATCATGCCAGAATCTGCAGTTATCGCCTTCACGACATCCGCTCCGGGAATAGAAGTAACAGTCCACGGTTTTCTCAAGATTGGTCCGATTCGGGTTATCACTGCAAACCAAAGTGTCCATTCCAGTACGGCGGAACAGGACTTCGATCCTCCAGTGTAGGTTGTCCAGTCCACAACCAAGCTTCGGAATCGCCGGCTCTTGTAGGTTATTCTCCAGAAGATTTCCGCGGAGTTCCATTACGTATCCCAAAGTTCTCTATAAGTTGGTTTATCAGAGCATCTTCCTTTAGTTACTAGGTAATAGATGTTGCGTCGTCCGTCAGGCAGGCACAACAGTCTTCTTCCCTTCTGTGTTTGGTCTTCAAGATGTTCCAAACCGCCAAATCTGCGTTTGAACTCGAACGCGATACCACGGCTCATTCTGAGATCCTTTGAAACGACTGGGCCAGAGAATGTTCCTTGGATATAGCAAAGAGGTCTCTTCGGATTTCTTGCGTCACTCCAAATCTCCTGTTAATATGGGGGGCCTTCCTTCATGAACTCTTCGAATGTGGGTTGGGTAGGAATAGTTCTTAATAATCTGGCTCACGCCTCCTTTGCACTTGTACCGGCGAATGGAGTCAAGCGATTAAAATGGACTACCTTCGGCTTGCCATTTCGANTAAAAACACTACTAAATTATTACTAAACTTAGGTTATGAATTATTATATTTCTTTACACTACTGTTGATATATAACTATTCACTGCCTTATTTATTTCACTGCTGTCACTGTCAATTTGTTTCTGGATTCACTTCTGCAACGGTTAATTTATCCCTTCTTCTCTCGGCGAATCCCTTTCTTTAAGTACTTTTTTGTTTACTTTTGGGAACTTTCTGGAAACATCCGGATAGTTTACTTTTTCTTTGAATTGTTTAACTGCTTTCCCAGAACGCGGGTACGACACATACATTTACAAATACGGCGCACATGAAGAAAAGTGCCCGTTCACGCACACGTATGACCGATCGCACACAAACACACTCGTGCTCGCTACACTGCCCCCTCCTTAAGGATGTTTCGTCCCAAGACATTTTCACCTTCCCTTTCGCAGAATCATGCCAAAATCTGCAGTTCTCGCCTTCACGACATCCGCTCTGATTCGGGTTATCACTGCAAACTAAAGTGTCCATTCCAGTACGGCGGAACAGGACTTCGATCATGTTCCGTACGATCCTCCAGTGTAGGTTGACCAGTCCACAACCAAGCTTCGGAATCGCCGGCTTTTGTAGGTTATTCTCCAGAAGATGTCCGCGGAGTTCCATTACGCATCCCAAAGTTCTCTATAAGTTGGTTTATCAGAGCATCTTCCTTTAGTTACTAGGTAATAGATGTTGCGTCGTCCGTCAGGCAGGCACAACAATCTTCTTTCCTTCTGTGCTTGGTCTTCAAGATGTTCCAAACCGCCAAATCTGCGTTTGAACTCGGACGTGATACCACGGCTCATTCTGAGATCCTTTGAAACGCAATGGGCCAGAGAATAGTCCTTGGATATAGCAAAGAGGTCTCTTCGGATTTCTTGCGTCACTCCAAATCTCCTGTTAATATGGGGGCCTTCCTTCATGAACTCTTCGAATGTAGGTTGGGAAGGAATAGTTCTTAATAATCTGGCTCGCGCCTCCTCTTCATTTGCACCGGCGAATGGAGCCAAGCGATTAAAATGGACTACCTTCGGCTTGCCATTTCTAGCTTTCTTAATTCGGTAGATCACGTCCTTAATCCTCTTCGCTATCTCATAGGGTCCTTCTCAATTCTGTTGGAACTTAGGTGATAGTCTACGGCGACGACGAGGATTATACAACCAAACAAGATCTCCAGTTTGGTAACCACCTGCTGTAGCCTTGATATCGTAGTTTTCTTTAATCCTGTCACTAGCAATCTGCGTATGCAGACGAACCGACTCGTGGATATCGTTAAGCTTTCTTCGGAGGTTGGTAACATAATTTTTTCCAGCCAAGCCATCTCCTGGTTTACAGCCGAATTTGAGGTCAGAAGGTAGTCGTAACTTTCTTCCAAAAAGGACACTGGCAGGTGTTTGGTCAATCGTTTCGTGGACAGATGAACGGTATTCCATTAAACATAAAGGCACATAATGCCAAGTAGCGGTCCCAGTCCCCTTGGTGATCAGACACTACCTTGGAGAGATTTTTAATCAAGGTCCGGTTCATTCGCTCAACCATACCGTCCGATTGTGGATAGAGTCGAGTAGTTCGCGTTTTCTTTATTCCTAGAAGCTCACATATTCCACGGAATATAGCCGATTCGAAATTCGTCCCCTGGTCTGATTGCAAATCCAAGGGCACC